GGCGCGCGGCCCTGCTTACTATTGGGCCAAGGTCACCCCCCCGCCAGGGCGTGCTCACATGAAGAACGAGCAGGCTGAGTGGTGGGGTGTGGTCAGCACTTTGTTATTTCGGCATGCTGCCCTTCGTGTGAATGGGGCTGATCCTGATCAGGCTGCTTATTGTGCGCGGGAGGTACAGGCCAGGATTGGAGCCTTGCCTGATGACAAGACGGTCGGGTATTTTGGCAAGAAGTCCACCGCGCAGGAGATCGACTTGTGGAAAGCAATGGCCGCCGACTTGGATCGTGTTCCTGTTGGCCAGCTTACTTCTCTGGTGGATACCACTCGTAGGTGGGCGGACTCGGCGACTTCACGGGCCTTGTTGGCTTCGCGCTCGTCCTTTGTCAAGTGGGTGAAGGATACCTGGTCATCCAAGCCTGGTGCGGTACATCGGCATGTGAAGCAGGCCCCGCCCTTGGAGTGGGAGGGATGCGATGCGTCAGGTGCCACCACCACGGACAAGCAGACGATGCTTCAGACTTCGGCATCTGAATGGAATGTGATGTGGCAGGATCCTGTCGACCAGCCTGCAGATATTTTGTATATGATGGACCAGTGCCTCTCAGCTGCGCGAGACAACCCACTTCCTGCCATTGCCATCATGGACGTGGATGCTGTGCTGCCCTCGCTACCAGCGAAGAAGGCGAAGGGCGTGGACGTGCTGAACCCCATGGATATTCAGCGGCAGCCCTTGGTGGCAAGGCAGTGTCTTGTGAACATATTGAACAGCATTGAGCAGGCTGGCGCCTGGCCGTCGGCCCTCAGCGCGGTCCTGGGTGCTGCTATCCCCAAGGAAGCTGGAGGCAACAGAGTGTTGGGGCTTGTCCCGACGCCGCACAAAATTTGGTCCAAGGTGCGCGCGAAGCACTCAGGTGAATGGTCAGCTGCCCAATCTGCCTTTTGGGACACTGCAATTGCTGGTTCTTCAGCACTCAGAGCGGCATTGATCAGAGCCGTGATGGATGAGGGAGCCACTGCCCTGTCTTTTGAGCATGCGACACTTTTCTTGGATCTGACCAAGTTCTACGACTCTGTGTCCTTTGTGTTGCTGATGCAGGCAGGCTTGAATATTGGCTTTCCAGCTATCATCCTTTTATTGGAAGTGGACCTTTACTCTTCTCCCAGACTTCTGAAGAAGGGCAAGATGATATCGGGCGCCTTGGTGATTTCACGTTCGATCGTCGCTGGCTCTGGACATGGTGTGCCGCTCGCCAAGGTTATGCTCCATCAGCTTCTGGAGAAGGTTCACCGTGCGTGTCCCCCGACTGGATTGTGGAGCTATATTGATGATATCGTTGGTCGTGCTGAGGGGAAAAAGCAGCAGGTGATTGATAATTTGGATGCTTCTGCCGACGCCATGGCCATGGGGCTCAAGAAGCTCAGGCTGGAGATTTCTGACAAAACGAAGCTTGTTGCCAGCGCTGACGAGATTGGCGAGGAGTTACACAGACGGCTGGCCCGTAAAGGTATCCCAGTTCAGTTCGTGCGCTCAACTGTGGACTTGGGCTCTGACGCTGCTGCAGTGCGTCGGCGCATGGCACCGCGGATGATGAAACGACGTGCACAGGCTCGGCGGAGGCAGCAAAGAGTCATGCGGTTGAGGCAACTACCTAAGACGAGGTTCATCACCAAGAAGCTCTTCAGCACTGGAGGGTTACCTGCTGCAGTCTTAGGCCATCAGATTATGGGCACTCCTCCTTCTCTCTTGGCTCTGAGGCGTGATGCTGCTGCGAGTGTGGCTGGGACGAAGCGTGGCAGGTGCTTGAATTCTGTATTACAAGCGGTGTTTGGGCTATTTGATCCTGGCATTGATCTGAGGAAGCAGGTGATCAAGGAGTGGATTGCGCTGTGGCTCTCCCAGCCGATGCTCCATCCTCGCATACGCAAGATGTGGCCGATCACTCTGGCGAAGCTACGGCGTGGCTCTGCTGAGAGACTTGTGGTGAAGTGGAAGGATGTGCGCGGCCCCATCGCCGCGGTGCAGGCCACGCTCTTGCAGGTTGGCTGGGATCCACAGAGCCCCGATGTCTGGTCACGCCCATTGGCTGATGGAACCATCGATGATTGGCTGTTTCCTGCTTTTGGTGACGAGCAGTTCTCTTCAGCGGTGCCTTCGCATTTTGAAGACATGCTTGGCGCCTTTATGGATGATTGTGTCCAGCTGCAGTGGAAGGAAGCGGTCCACCACGAAGCAGGTGAGGATCTGGCAGCTGGTGCGGACATGACGACGGTGCAGATTGAGCTGAACCGCCTGGCTGCCAGGTCCAAGTTCGACGAGTGGGCCGCAGACATTGCCGTCATCTCGGGGGGCCAGTGGACTCGTGAGCGGCAGAGAGCTGCAGGGTATTCCTGCCAGCCGCTGTGCCCCAGATGCAGGGAGCAGCCTGAGACTTTAGTTCATCGCATTTGGCTATGCCCAGCCAACTGCGGACACGATGACTTTTCAAAAACGGAATTTTTGGCCCCCCAGGCCCTCGCGGGCTTTGAGGCCCAGCCTGCCTTGTGGCTTAGGGGAGTGCCCTCGAAGGACCTCACGGTGCCCAGGTTTGTTGAGACTGTGGAAACGGCCCAGGAGGTCCTTCTGGGCGATGGCCGTCTGGACGATTTTTGCTCGGAGCCTGGAGGCCCCCCAGTGTTCATCTTTGGTGACGGATCTGGGGGCGAGTTCAGCGCGGGCCCCAGGCGTAGGCGATGTGGGTCTGCCGTGGTGATGATGAGCCAGGACCCCTCAGCGCCGAACTCTTGGGTGCCTCAGCGTGGTGTAGGACAGGTTTTGTCAGGCCGTCGCCAAACGGTTCCTAGAGCAGAGCTGCAGGCCTTCTGTCTCGCACTGGAGCACACGCACGGTCCGATTTGCTATGTTACCGACTGCAAGAGTTTGATTTCTGATTGGCACGGTGGCCGTGCCTCCTCCCCTCGGGGCCCGAACGGGGACCTGTGGGTTCGTGCTGCTCGGGCTCTCCGCTCCCATGGCCCTGGGGAGGTTTCGCTTTCCTGGGCGCCCTCCCACTCGGAGGAAAATGCGCAGTCTGTAACCTCCCTTTTTGATATTTTTATGTGCCAGGGCAACGCCAGTGCCGACGCCTATGCGGGGGTGGTGGCCCAGTGGTCCCGGGAGTGGTGTGTGGTGGCCCCTCCCCCTCGGACCGACCTGTGGGACACGACGGCGGCGCTGGTGCGTGGGGGGGCCAGAAGGGCCATGATGCTGGCGCTCGAGGTTGAACCTTGGGAAGGGGTCAGAGCTCCGCCAGCGCCCAAGGCCCGCAAGCCCACTAAGCTTGTCCAGGCGATCGGCGTGAGTGCGCACAAGCTTCGCCCTTTCGCTGGTCGCTGGCGTTGCAACCTCTGCAAGGTGATTGTCCCGAGGAGCCAAGTGCTCACTTTCGCCTCGACCCCGTGCCGCGTCCCGACCCCGTCGCCGTCGGATTCGCCTGGCATGCTGGGTCTGAGCCCTGAGTTTGGTGAGGGTTTCGAGGCGATCTCGGGTGAGGCGTGGTGTGGAGCGGTGAAGCTTCACCCCAGCCACCGCCTGGCCAGGATGTGTGCGTTTGGGCTGACATTTTGTCAGCGTTGCGGTTTCACCGCCACGACAGACGGTCGGCGGCTTCAGAAGGAGTGCGCCCCCCCCACCCGCAAGGGGGGCGAGAACCTCAGGCGAATTAAAAAGGGTGTTTTTCCGTCTTATCGGGGCCCACCAGTGGCCTTGCGTGAGGCGGCGGCGCTGGACGCTGCTGCGAGAGCCCTCCCGACCCCCCCTAGTGGAAGCTCTGGGGGTCTGGGCGGAGCCGATAGGCCACTGGTGGAGAGGCCCAGTTTCGATGAGTATGTGGCCCGCTCCTCCGATCGCCCTGTCGGAGAGCTGGCCAACCTGATGTCGGTCTGCGAGGACGCCCCACCCGTGGGCGAGGACGCGGCTGCTGCCTTCGCTGCCGCTGCCGCCCGCTTGTGTGTGGTGAATGATTGTGAGGTGACCGCCGCCCAGCTCGGAGCCCAGGGTCAGGGGCAGACAGTGCTCGCTGGTGCTCGTGTGCAGGGGTTGGGCGGCGAGGGCGTCGACAGCGGTGACAGCGACTGAACTGGCCACGTGGGTGGCATCGCAGCATGATCCAGCATGATCCTCCTCCTCCTCCTCCTCCTCCTCCTCCTCCTCCTCCCTCTCCTCCACCTTCTCCTCCCCATCTTTCTCCTCCTCCGGCGGTGCGCGTGGGTCTCTCCCGCGGCCAGAGCTCGCTGAACGGGAGCCAGCAGAAACCTCCGCCTCCCCTAGACGAGGGCGGCTCATCCGGGGGTGGCCAGCTGTCTTGGACAGCGGCCCAAGGTGGGGACGGGTCTGCAGGCCGGGGCCTCTAGACTATTTAGGCATACCCGGGAGCACCTCGGAGGCCAGGACAGGCGCTCGCCAGCCACGGGCCCGTCAGCTCGCAGCGCCAGGCCAGCCTGCCAGGCCGTCTCCGGCCCCAGCGCCCCAGCCCGCCCAGCTCGGCGCCGCCTGCTCAGCGCGCTGCCTCTGACCCTGCGCCCCCTCCCAGCACCGCCCCAAGCCCGGGCCCGGCAGCCCTCGCGGCTCAGCGCAGCCCAGCGGCGCCCAGGAGTTGGCGCGCCACCTGGCGTGGCAGCGCGTGGCTGAGCAAGTGCGTGCCAGCTCCCCAGGCTGCGTGTCCTCGGGGAGCTCGCGCACCTGCGCCAACAGCCACCGCCGTGCCTCAGCGCCCAGGCGGCCGGAGGTCTCCAGGGCGAGCGCAGTTAAGGGCTCACCTCTCGTGCTTGTCGCGCTGAGCCCTCCTCCTCCTCCTCCTCCGCCTCCTCCTCCTCCTCCTCCTCCGCCTCCTCCTCCTCCTCCCTCCCTTCCTCCTCCTCCTCCTCCTCCTCCTCCTTCTCCTCCTCCTCCTCCTCTTCTTCCCTCTCCCCCTCCCCCTCCGCCGCCCTCCGCCGCCCTCCCGCGCGACGCTCGCGCCGTGCAGGCCGACCCCAACGTGCCCGCCACGGCGGCGCTGCAGACGCCCCTGGATCAGGACGCCCCGCCCCCAGCAGGGGGTGCCGCCGCCGCCTCGGGGGCCCCTGAGGCCACACCACTAACCACGGCGCCGTAGAGTCAAGTCAAGCCTGCCCCTGTACAGGGGGAGTACTCAAAAACAGTCAAAACTAATCGGGGGAATCTTTTTTACTATGTTTCAGCATTTTTTTGGTGTTAAAAGTTTTTTCGCCCAAAATCCCCTGTAGGGGGACAGGCCCGACTTAACCGTAGAGGCCCAGAGCAGGCACCCCCTCCCTGCGCGTTCGCGACACAGTATCCCTTTGCTGGCGATCAGGGCATGCCACACCGAAGGCCGGTTAAGGTCAGTGGCAGCTGGCACAGGGCCCGCACCCCACTCGGGTAGTCAGAGAGTGATCATCGGACACCGCTCCTGGAGTTGTTGAGTTGAGTTGAGTCGCCGCCGTCGCCGTCGTCGTGGACGATATCGTCGAACGAACGCTTGAAGGTTCCGGAACGTGGCGTTGCAGGAGGTGCCCAGAACGTGGCGAGCGGCCGTCCCTCAGACCCGAGTGTTGGCCCGAGAGCCGCATCAGAAGAATCACTCGTCAACGTCTTCGGGGGTCTTCGGGGGTCTTCGACGGCTTGCGGTGGCCTTCGGCTGCCGTTCTGTGGTGGTCAGCAACCTCTCGGCTGCCCAGAGGCTTCGCTGGGCGTCTGCGGGGTTTTGTGGAGAGGAAAGCGGTCAGTGAGGATGAACAATGAGGACAAGCAGTAAGTAGGAGGACGAGGGCAACGATGACGAAGCCAAGAGTGGGGACGGAGGAGAGAGGAGGAAGAAGGAATGAGTCGAGGACAAGGAGGAACATAAGGAACTAAAGGAACAGGTAGAGGAGAAATAAGTGCAACAACAACATGACGAGGAGATCAGGACAGGATGAAGGTGGAGGGGAGGGAATCCATGATGTGGATGATGATGATGATGATGATGAGGAGGAGGAGGAGGAGGAGGAGGCGGAGGAGCATGAGAAAAAGGTGTGAGGAGGGAAGATTGACGAGGGATCAATTCGATGATGATGATGTTGTTGCTGATGATGCTGATGATGATGACAACGACAATGATGATACCGATATTGATGTTGAAGAAGATGACGATTCCGATATTCATGATGCTGGTACTGATGCTGCTGAGGGTGTTGGTAATGACGATGATGCTGTTGATGCTGATGATGCTGCTGATGATGAGTATGATGATGGTGCTTCTTATGGTACTGATCTGGTGATGCTGATGATGATTATGCGGCGGATGATTGTATTATTCGTATGGATATGATCACCAATTAGCATACCAATGCGCACACATCTAAACATAATGCTACTATCACTACAACTACAACAACACCTGCTACTGCTGCTACTGCTGCTACTGCTACTACTACTACTACTACTACTACGACGACTACTATTACTACTACTACTACGACTACTACTACTACTACTGCTACTACTACTACTACTACTACTACTACTACTACTACTACTATTATCGCTACTACCATGTACTACTACTACTACTACTACTACTACTACTACTACTACTACTACTACGACTACTACTACGACTACTACTACGACTACTACTACTACCACTACTACTACTACTACTACTACTACTACTACTACTACTACTACTACTACGACTACTACTACTACTCATACTGCTGTAGCTACTACTGCTACTACTACTACTACTGCCAATGATACAACAATACTGGTACTACCGCTGATGAGGATTTGGTGGCGTTTGATGGGGACACGACTGCCCGCAACAGCAGAGGATCGTGGGTGGTCCTCGAAGAGGAGGCTCATGTGGGCGATGCGGATGATGGCGATGACGGCGAATGCGATTTTGACGATAACGATTGCGATGGCGATCGCGATGATGGCGATGACGATTGCACGATGATCTGATGGTGTCGGCGATTGAGATGGCCATAATGAGGAGGATAAGGGTGATTCGGGTGGTTGCGACGGTTACGATGACGGTTGGTAGGATACGGACGAGGAATGCAAATAATATGTGAGGGCGAGGGAAAAGTAAGGGTACAGGAGGACATTCGGAGGGTTAAGTGGAGGAGGATTGGATGAGGAGGCGCAACGGGGAGCACTAGGAAGATGATGGTATCGATGATGATCATATTGAGAGGAAGGGGGGGAACATGAGGATCGAGAGAAGGCCCTGAAGAGGAGTAACAAGAAGAGGAGGAGGAGGAGAGGAGGAGGAGGAGGAGGAGGAGGAGCCGATGAACGGGGTCACGACAGTGACGGCCGTGCCCCACACATTCCCACCTACTGAAGCTACGGCGGTCTGGCGCCCACAGTCGCGCCACGCAACAGACTGGATCGAGCCCGACGGGGTCATCTTTTTCGGATGCATCAAGGTGCAGACTCAGGACATCCACGACATGGTGCCCCCCATCTAGGCCGACGTCCGCGAGGCCAGGCGCAATCTCCTTGTCGACAATCTTAACGGGCCTTGCAATGCTTTCACCGACGACTGCGAGGCACGGCGTGGTTTGATGGGCTTTGTAACAATTGCGAGGCCAGTCGACATCATGCCATACGCCCTGGCAGGTGCCCAGCTTGCAAGGCGCATGTGATCCTGCCCACCAAGACGCGATCCAGTCCAAACGCCAGGCCATAGAGCATGGTTGCATCACGAGCTGCCAGGGAAGCTGCAAGAACAGGGCATAGGCAGCGGGCTGCCCTTCCATCCCAGCCAATAGCTTCCTTGCCCTCGCCCGTGGTTCGTGTGCAAGGCGGACAACCTGAGGCACTGCTCTAAACAAGTCTACTACTTCAACGTCGAGACCCGCCGATCCGAATGGGATGGCCCGTGCAACCACCTCCTCAGCAACGGCGGAAGATTGGCGTCACGTCCAACAACAGGAGGGCCACGACAACAAACTCAACATCGTGGAGTGACTCCACGATGTCGCGAGGACAGCGGCAGCCACGCTCGCCGCCGAAGCCAACATATCGCTTTCACAAACAGCAGCGTCGGTCTACGGGGCGTGGGATAGAACGACCAGCAGGATGACACTACATGCGCAACACCGGTACGACAAATCTCAGCGTCACCGACCTGGACCTCCAGCAACTGTATGATTACACAGTTGGGAGCCTGCATGCCCGAACCTACGCCGAAGGCGTCATGAATAACCACGGCGGCGACTTGGTGGCTCCAGTAGGCGTCGCCGGAAGGATCACCGAGTTCTAGACCTCGAACCCTCCGGATACCCCGGGCCGACTCTCGCGAATCCGTCCGACCAGGCCCCAATCTTCCCGACCCCGCAGCACGTCGAGCGTCGGCGCAACGCCATCGAGCCGACCGCGACGTGATCCAGCACGCATTCATTATTTCGTCCACTTGATCGTAGATGGATCGCCATCCTCAGCGGAGCCGGCTAGCGCCTTCAATGACGACGCCCCGCCATTCGACCCCCCCCCCGCCCGACCGCGACCCGCCGGCCGATGGGCCCGAGTCGGTGGAAGCCGCTGCGCAGCCCCGCCGCCGATTCAGATGCTGCATCGACTGGCTGAGGTCCCAGCCAAGCCATCGCCGGCGCAGAAACGCGACGCCGCCGCGAGAGGCCGCCCCGTCCGAGGCAGGCGACTTGTCCTTGATCACCGACGGCAGGAACTTAAACGTGGGAGGGACGCCACAAGGCCGATCCACCAATGATCAACAGACCGCCCCTGCCATGGCGCCGCCGAAAAGGCGTCGCGCCGTGTGGCGGCGATGCCCGCCCGGCCAGCGGCGCGGGCGCCTCGCCGCCAGGCGGAGTCCTTCGCTGGGCGCCGCCAGCGGAGAAGCGGCGGGGTCGTCGACGCCAACAGGCATGGCCACGGTCTGCGACGGCGCGTCGCCGCGCTGGCATCCTCTCGGGCTCGCCAGCCGCTGAGCTGCAGCGCGACGTCGCTGGGCGCCTGGCCGGCGTCGCCGGCAGCATCCAGCATGACCGCTCCGCGCCGCTATTCGATGTGCGCGCCCGCGAGTTCATCGCGGCGGCCATCCAGGATATCGGCCATCCTGAGGCGACCTGCGACTGGTCAGCTGACCCATGCGCGAATTGCCGCATTGTGCACGCCCAGGTGATATTCGGCCTCTCTGGGGCGCTGGACAACTGCCTGGGAGAGGCTGCCGAATGACCCGCCAACCCATTGGGGGGCGTCAGCGTGGCGGACCAACAGAGATGCCTCGTGCGTTACACAACTCACGTGTAGCGCAGCACGACCTCATGCGCCAGCGATTGCACGGACCTGCCAGGCCCGCGCGGAGCCAAGATGGAGTGCGGGGGGGGGGGGGGGGGGGGGGGGGACTTCGCCCGCGTCGAGGTGGGGGCGCGCTGCAATCCGAGGACCATGCTGACGCCCGTCGCAACGTCAGCGTGCCAGAGGGGCGCCGCCAACCAGCTGGCCAGAAAAACAAACAACCTGACAAACGTCCGAGACGCGGCGCCGACGGGGGACCCAGAGGCCTTGCCTACCAGGTCAGGCCCGGGCGACCAGATGACCCGGCCACGGGCGGGCCCCGCGAGGCACCAAAGCACCAGCAACCGATGCCATTGGCACCGCGCCCCAAAAGGGGCGGGCCGATACTGGGGCATTAGCCCCGCGGCCGCGACTCCCAGTCATCGCAGCTACCACCTGCCAGCAGCCCTGCTAGCAGCAGGCCGCTCAGCAGGGCGCCCCCCTCGATGGGCATGAGACGGGTGAAACGAGCTCCTCCGCGGGAAATTTGTCAGGCGCGGTGAACCTCCCCGACGTCGCGACTGGGGGGCGTCGTTCCGCCGCGCGCGCCTTCCGCCCGCGCCGACATTGGCGGCGGCAGCAAGGTCGACAGCGAGGGCGACCTACGGCGCCTACGTCGCCGAGTTGACAGTTACATCAATGAGGAGGAGTACTACATGGCAGAGACAACCTGGACTGTGCCAACAAGAAGCACGACGCCACAGTTACGACTACAGGCAACGAGACCCAAGGCGCTTACTGCGCCTCCAGCCAGGCGACGGCGAGTTCGCTGACGACGAGGCAGGAGCTCGCGTCTGGCCTGGCCTACATTGGCCCACCTCGCCTGGCCCTTCAATCCGCCCTTCGCCGAGAGGTCGGGCCCCGCCCGCGATCTCTCGCAACGGGCGGACGAGCCGCGCGCCGCTCTCGCGACCTGACGGGACTTGCCTGGCAGAGGCCCGTCAGCGCGTCCTTCCCCGCGCCAAGTTCACCTACTGTGCTCCAGCAGCAGCAGGAGGTCGAGCTCTCCTGCGGCCGTGAGGGGCGCCGCCAGCAACTTATGTTTCTTCGCCGGCCTCGGCGCTATCCCTGCGCGGCGCCGCCGCGACTGTTGTCTTCGCGGCGGCGGCAATAGGTGGGCATCTTTCGCACTCTTAATCGCCCCCTCTCCACGACGGCGCCCCCGTCTCCGCGGGCGCGCGCCGCGGCTTCGACTCCTCGCGCGCGTGCCCGCGGCTGCTGCGCCCACGGCGCGCCGCGCTTTGCAGTGGGTCCACGGTCAGACAGGGCCCCCGCCGCCGCCGCGGCTTTTCGTCCGCGCGCGCCACTCGCCCGGCGCGCCGCGCGAGCGCCAACCGCGCCCGACCAGTGGATGGAGCTCTCTCGCGCGCCTCGTCAGTGGGGTCTTAAGCGCGAGCTTCCAGCTGGGGCTTGGGAGGTAGCAGCGCGAAGAGACTCCTTGCCGCTGGTCCGGAGAGGGCCTCGCCCAACCCTCGCCCCCCTCCGGGTCGCCTCCGCCTGCGCCCCCGACCACCCCGACTCTCACCCGCCGAACCTACTCCCCCCCAGTCGCGCGGCGGCGGGATGGGCGGGCCACGGGGGGGGGGGGTGGCGGGCGACCGCGGTCGGCGGCCCCGCGGGGGCGACTTGGGAGGCCAAGGCTGGATTCGCAAATCAAGCGCCGCCCATCCTTATCGCCGTCCTCATTGCCCCCCGCATTCTGTTCATTTTTCCCGGCGTAATTCAGCAGCAGCTGTAACGGTCGCACAAACGCGGCCGGCCGCCAAGGAAAACGGCGGCGCGGCCCGCAACGCCGAGCGCCAGCCAGTGCATCTTGCCCCGCTTTCTTTCCATGTCCTTCCTTCACTTCAACCTTGCCCCTTCCACTTGTCGTGGTTTCGCCCCGCCCCCCTCTGCCACTTCTCTCGCGTGCCAGGTCTCTTTCCTCATCGTAACCTGCGGCCGCTACCATGTTCAGCCCGCCGTAGCCGCCAGCTTCCTCAAATTGTTCCTCTCCGAATGCACCGCCGCCGCTCAGCGTGGGGGATCGCGCGAGGGTGGGGGGGGGAGGGGGGGCGGGGGGTTGGGCGGTGCGTCGCTGGCTGCCCAGGCGTTGGCCAGAGGGACCGCTGGCACCGCGGCCGTTCGGGGGCGACCGCCGCCACGGAAAGCGCAAACCCACCCCTGCCCAATGGAAACCCCACGACGGCCCCCAATCCCTACGTCGGGAATCCGTTGCTTGTCTCGGCGGGCGAGGCCCCCTTTGCCGGGACAGTGGGCCGTCGCGTGTGGTTTCCCACGGGTCGGGGTAAAGGCCGCCTGTGCCTTTCCACCGTGGCAGGCGCGGCTTCGCCGCGCCTCTCACTGCGCCGTCACCGCAACCACGCCAGCGCCGCACCGTCGCGCACCTCGGGGGGCTTAGGAAAGTGGTGGAAAGGGCAACGGGCCGCTGGCTTCCTTGGCGATGGCCAAAACGGGACGGCCACCGCCGCGGAAGGCACAAATCTCCCCCGAGCCCAGTGGCAACCCCACGGCGGCCCCCAGCCCGTGCCCCGGGAACCTTGCGCTTGCCTCGGAGGGTATGCGGTTCCTTTGGTCGGACTGTGGGTCGTCGTTTGGGGTATCGTACGGGTCGGAGGAGAGGTCTTTGTGCCATTGTCACCTTGGCAGGCGTGGCCAGGCCATGCCCGTCCTTTGCGCTGCCAGCGCCACCTCCTCCTGGACCACCACATGGTGTCACCCCACGCCCACGCAACGGGCGCCGAACTTGAAATCCCAACTTCATCCTTTCCTTGCGATCGCGATTTCTCTTCCATCCCCCCCCCCGCTTGTCACTTCTGTCGCCCGTCGTTCCGTTCTACCTCTACAGGTCCTGCCAGCGGGCAACCACAGGGACCTATCTCCATGGGCCGCCTGGCTCATTCATTTGATCACGCACCCCCTGACAGCGACCGCTGCTGGGGGGCGGATGGCCGCGCCAGGATGTCCCCAGGGTCGAGAAATTGAGAGAGAGAGAGAAGGAACTGAACAAAAACAACAACGGGGGCGATAGGGCGGCAGTGTATGACGGAGGGTGAGCAGGCGAACTGGGGGGAGGGGGGATCACATTGCGCGAGGGGAAATGGGAGTGAGACGGCGTGGGATGGAGCAGGGGGAGGTTGAAGGGAGAGGGGTGGAAGGCAGCGAGATGGATGAACGGAGGGGGGAAGGGGCAGAAAGTGGTTTCACGGGGTGGAGGACCCGAGGAGCAGATGATGATGACGAGAATGAGAGGGAATGCGAGGAGGAGGTGGAGGGGAGGGAGGAGGATGAGCTGCGGGAGTGTCATCTCCACTCATGGTCTGCCTCACATCAGCGCTCGCTTTTCACACCTTCCAAATCGCCTCTAATCAGGTGATCGCGCACATCGAGTACCATGAGGATTACGACAAGCGCATGAATTCTTTCGAGCAGGCTACTGGTTTGCTCACTCATCTTCTGTGCTTGTTCATCCACGTGGCCCAAGTTCCTCTTTCGGTGAGGAAGAAGGAGAGAGGTGGGGAGGAAGAGGTCGAGGTTGCCCTGGACCAACAGGGCCCTAGGGTACCCGTAGTCATGCGCTATGGTGAGTACGGGTAGTATTTGGCTCATGCGTTCGCGTGTAGTTTTCCTCAGCCAGCTTGCCCATTGCATCAAGTGCTCGTGTTGTTAGTGACGATGGTGATGGCGATAGTGATTGTTATAACAATGATGATGATGATGCGGATGGTGATGGAGATGATGATTATGATGATGATGGTACTCGTGATGATGGCGGTTGTGACGGCGTTGATGATGTTGATGTTGTTGAGGATGATGACGATGATGATGATAGTGGTGATGCTGATGAATCAGACGAGGATGCTGATGGCTATATGGTGATGATGAAGATGATGCTGCTGTTGATAATTATGATGGTGATGCTGATGGTGTTGATGCTGGTGTTTATGATGATGACGTTTGTGATGCTGATGCTGATGCTGATGATGATGGTGGTGGTGATGCGGATGATGATGATGATGATGATGATGATGATGATGATGATGCTGATGATGATGATGATGATTGCCATGACGATGACGATGCTGATGGTCATGATGATTGTCATTCTGATGCTGATGACGGTGGCGTTTGCGGCGCTTACGGTGATGGTCGTGGTGATACTGATGATGACGATGACGATTCTAGTGATGTCGATGATGGTGATAGCTATGGCGATGACGATCACGACAACAATGATGATGATGCTGATGATGATGAGGCTGATGGTGATCATGGTGATAGTGACGATGATGCTGCTGATACTGGTGATGGTGATGGTGATGCTGCTGCTGATGCTGATGATGGTGATGATGATGATGATGATGATCATGCTGATGATGATGATGATGATGATGATGATGATGATGCTGATGGCGATGTTGATGATGTTGATGCGGCTGCTGATGCTGATGATGCGGATGTTGATGGAGATGCTGATGCTGATGATGCTGATGTTGATGGAGATGTTGATGATGATTGTGACTATGCTTATGACGATGATGCTGATGCTGATGATCATGCTGATGAGGATGCTGATGATGATCATGGTGATAGTGATGATGATGATGATGATGATGATGATGATGATGATGCTGATGATGATGATGCTGATGATGATGATGATGATGATGATGATGATGATGATGATGGTGATGGTGATGGTGATGGTGATGGTGATGATGCTGATGCTGATGCCGATGCTGCTAATGATGATGCTGACGATGCTGATGATGCTGCTGATTATGTTGATGATGCTGATGTTGATGGAGATGATGATGCTGATTATGCTGATGGAGATGGAGATGCTGATGATGCTGATTGTGATTATGATGATGATGCTGCCGTGGATGATGATGATGATGATGATGATGATGATGATGATGATGATGATGATGATGATGATGATGATGATGATGATGATGATGATGATGATGCTGATGATGATGATGATGATGATGATGATCAATCACAAGAAGAAGCGGGTCATGGGGGACAAGGATGGCGTGGATCACGAGGAGCAGGAGGTGGAGGACGAGGAGGATAGTGGTAGCTGGACGAGGAGGCAGAGGAGAAGGACGGCGAGGAGGAGGTGGAGGATCACAGTATGAGCTTGAGGAGCAGCAGCAGCAGGAGGAGGAGGAGGAGGATGACCTGGGCAAACCAAAGATGCACCAATGATGCCCCAATACGGCCGCCCGTCTCAAGATGCTTCCTCATCTGCCTCTGCAAAAGTTCCTTCTGATTGCGGGAAGTGCCCGTGCGAGAGACGGTCGCCCTGTGGTCCTGATTTTTTTGCCGAGATCCCCGCTTGGAGAGGAGGGTGACGACTTAGGAGGGTGACGACTTAGGATCATACCTCCAGCTCCAAGGAGGGTGACGACTTGGTCATGCTTCCAGCTCCAAGGAGGGTGACGACTTAGGATCATACCTCGGCGGCCGGCCCAGGGATGGCGTGAGAGGCGGGCCGTCGCAGAAGGCTCCGAACACATCGGATCTTCGGAGATGTTTTCGCAGCCTTCAACGAACGTGTAACAAACTCTGCAGAAGGTCAGAGTGTTTCTGAGAAGCCCTGCCGCCTTCAAATCTGGCCTGCCTCTTCTCATGTCCCCCCGGGCGCGCCGCCGATCTAGGGAGGGCGGCGAGGTAGGATCAGATAGTCCAAGGAAGTGCCCAGCGAGAGCTCAGCTTTGAAACGTATCCGTCCTGAAGCCTGTCATGTGTTTTTCAATATGATAAGTTTTTCGCGCCATGGCAGCTCGGGGAATCCCGAGCGAGGTCCCTCATTTGAAACGCAGCCGAAATCTATCTGTGTATATAGCTGTTGGGCAGCCTTCGGTTTCTATCCTTATGAAGTAAAAAGACAGTTCTATGTTGAAAGGCGCCGCCCTCCTCCCACGTGGGGTGTCAGAAACCTTGATGGGACCGACCCCCCCCTCAACCATGAAAGCATGGCGAAGCGTCCTGGCTCGTCTATAGGCCCAGCAAATAATGTTCTAAGAACTTTTTTGTGGTCTCCACAAGAGGTTATCAGAACATGTCTGGCCGATCTTGTTTTGTTTTGGGATTATGTTCTAACAGCACTGGTTCTAAGAACATTTCGCTGCAGGCCTGTTAGGAATGCCGGGACGGTCGGTCCCTGTTCTGGGAACTGCGCGCAGCACTGGTGACGGGCTGCACTGGCCGCGTGGCGGCGCTACGCGCCGCCCACGCGGCATAGCAGGGCGGCTTCTGCGGCGCCAGGGCGCTCGCCCCCTTCGCGTACTCTTGGCATGCAAGCCGAAACATACGGATCCGACCAATGCGTGGGGAATGGACGCCCGAGCGATGGGAAGTATTTCATCCTCGTGTTGCCAACTGTCAGTGTTGCACAGGTTCCGAAAGAGAGTGCAAGCGGACGCTCCACATGAACGCCCTTGGAGACAGGAGGAAAGGGAAGGAGGAGCTGGAGGAGGAGGAGGAGGAGGAGCAGGAGGAAAAGGAGGAGCTGGAGGAGGAGGAGGAGGAGGACGAGGAGGAGGACGAGGAGGTCGGCTGCTGGCGAAGGCCACGTGGTCCTCTTTCCCCGCCGGGAGGTGAATCGCCTCGACGACTTCTCGCTGGCGGTGCGCCCGGACCTCGCCCCCTTCCGGGAGGCCCTCGCCCCCGCGGGGCCCTGCGACTGCGCCCCGGGAGGGGGGGGGGGGGAGTCTTCGGGGACACGGCTGGGGGGGGTAAAACAGGGCTAGGATCGGGATAAATCGCTCCAGAGCGTTCCGGAGCGCTCTCAGAGCGTTCCGGAACGCTCTGGAGCGGCCGCGGCGCCCAATACATCCTCCAAACTTGCCGATTCTCAGAGATTTCGAGTTATCCCGATCCGATTTTGTCCCGATCTTCGCGTCGTTTTATGGGGGGGGGATAGGCTCAGTCAGGCGATCGCAGACATGGATCAAGGGGGCGTGGATAAGCGACGGGTCCCGTTTCCATTCCGGAGATCGCGGATTCCCGCCGCCGAACGGGGCGGCACCGGCTGCATTTTGGGGAGGGCACCTCCCCCGACCCATGGATTTGGTAACAGCGCGCCAAATCCATGGATCGCTAATCCATGTTTGCGCGCCCCCGACTCAGGGGGGAAGCATCGACCCCCAGTCGCTTATTGATCTCCGACAGGGGCCCGATAGCCCACCCCGCTCAGGAGCGTACGGGTTCTCTATCGTGGGGGCCTATCGCCGATCCATCCGCGATGCATCGCCGATTCCAGCTCGGTGTTTCGCTCCATGAGCTGGTCGCACCCTAACGTTGCCCCTCGGGAATGCGGACCCTCGTCGTTCGGAGGATTGTTTTTCCTAAACACCCTGTGGTGTTGGGTCCTTCTTTTGAACAGACAGCGCCCGCGTCCTCCCGCTGCCCCCCCTCCCTCTCCCCATCATCAGCATCCTCATCATCAGCATCACCCCTCACACGGTTCGTAGCCCCATAGGGAGCTCCACCGAAGGCCCCAGTGGGTGCGTTCGCATGCGTCACCGCCACACATCACGGCACACCCCTCACACGGTTCGTGGCCCCACATGGAGCTCCACTGAACCCCCAGTGGGTGCGCTCGCATGCGTCACCGCCACCCATTACGGCACACCCCTCACGGGCTTCGTGGCCCCATAGGGAGCTCCACCGAAGGCCCCAGTGGGTGCGTTCGCATGCGTCACCGCCACACATCAAGGCACACCCCTCACACGGTTCGTGGCCCAATATGGAGCACCGCCGAAGGCCCCAGTGGGTGCGTTCGCATGCGTCACCGCCACCCAATTCGGCACACCCTTCACACGTTTCGTGGCCCCATAGGGAGCTCCAACGAAGGCCCCAGTGGGTGCGTTCGCATGCGTCAGCGCCACACATCACGGCACACCCCTCACACGGTTCGTGTGCAACCCCAACGAGCCGTGTCAAAGAACAGTGCAATTGCACTACATGTCACCCATGTCCCCGCCATGACACGCTCAGCCCCACCCGACCTTCACTGCGAAGTAGCACCCGAGCTTCAACATAGGCAGGGCCCGCAATCGACAGCCACCGGGAGTGCGCGAAGCACGCGCGGTGCGACGCACATGCCCAGCGCGCCACGCGCACCAGGTGCGCCACAGTGGGCAACCTGTTGATCCCCACCCCACCCATTCTTGTCAACAGCCAATGCAAACTGACGTCTGCTGTGCGAGCATAGTATTGAGCGTGTGTGTGTGTGTCTGTGTGTGTGTGTGTGCGTGCGTGAGTGCGTGCGTGCGTGTGTGTGGGTGCGTGTGTGTGTGTGTGTGCGTGTGTGCGTGTGTGCGTGTGTGCGTGCGTGCGTGCGTGCGTGCGTGGGTGCGTGGGTGCGTGTGTGCGTGTGTGCGCGCGTGTGCGTGTGTGTGTGTGTGTGTGTGTGCGTGTGCGCGCGTGTGTGTGTGTGTGTGTGTGTGTGTATGTGTGTGTGTGTGTGCGTGTGTGCGTGTGTGCGTGTGTGCGCGTGTGCGTGTGTGCGTGCGTGCGTGTGTGCGTGTGTGTGTGCTCGTTTGCTTGTGTGCGTGTGTGTGTGTGTGTGTGTGTGTGTGTGTGTGTGCGTGTATGCGTGTGTGCGCGTTTGCTTGCGTGCGTGCGTGCGTGCGTGCGTGCCTGCAGGCGTGCGTGTTTGCTCACGATCTCCATAGTGTGATGGTGGCGATGGGACCGGCGAGTCGTTGATGAACGGGGGGGGGCGGAAGGGCAAACTCTCAACCATCCCGTGCGTATTTGTGGGTACAAAAACTGCACAACCGCCTCGCCCCCGTGCAGTCGGCGATGCGTTTTCCCCCCGAAGGCGTCAGGGCTCAACCATTGGTGCCAGCTTTGGCTCCTGCGGCTGTGCGTCCTGGTCAGTGCTGTCTTGGTGGGACGGTTCCAGGAGCCGAGATTCTGTAGTGCTGGCCCAACTTAGAGTTTCGTGGCGCGGGGACGAGCAAACATGTCTTTGCGCCAGCTCCCGGGCGCCGGAAACACCGCTGGGAGGTCATCAGTATGGTCTAGCGTTGCAGGGTCTGCTTGGCGAGGATCGCTGGTAGATTTGCCGCCGCCCGGGCAGGGTACTCAGGTCGGTCTCGTTTGGACGTCGGGGTCCTGGCTAGGTTGATTCACAAAGTGATTGCTTGCCCGTGCTCGCGCAATTCATTCCTATTCATTTGCCTGGGCTGAATCTTATAGCTCGGGGGCCGAAGCCAAAGGTTTGGGTCATGCGTGTGCGCTGCCCATCGCTACGGGTTATCGTAACTGGAGGAACGTTACTGCGGGGAGGCACCCTGACAAGAAGGGTGTGCCGGTCGATGCGAACTATCACCTCCCAATTTCCGTCTGAAGAGATATCATTCAAACCATTCGTTTGTATTGTCATCTTGTCGCATGGGAGGGGGAGGGGGAGGGGCAGGAGGAGAGTGGAAACGGGTGGCCAGGGGAGGCGGGGATGATGGGGATGCAGCGTTGGATGGGTTGGCTGTGGTGGGAGGCTGGAGAGGGTAATGGCGTGAAAAGGTGGGTGAAGGGTCAGGAGAAGGAGAGGGAGGAAGGGGAGGTGGGAGGAGGACGTGGAAGGAAGGTGCTGGGGTCTGGGGGCGACCAGGTGGAGGCGGAGGCGATCGAAGGGGACGTGAATGACAATAACGATCATGCATTGCATTTGGAATGCTATGATATGGGGATGGTATTGATTTGACGGTGGTGCTGTTGTTGATGATGACGATGCTTGTGGTGAAGATGATGATGCTTGTGATGATGGCGATGGTCATCATCACCATCACCGCCATCATCAGCACCATCATCGCCGCCGTCGTCATCATCATCATCATCATCACACTCATCATCGTCACCATCATCATCAGCATCATTACCAACATGAGCATCAACAGCATCATCATCAGCATCATCATCAGCATCATCGTCAGCATCATCATTATCTTCAACATCATCATTGCTACCAGTCGCATCATCACATTCATCATTGCGGCGACGACTATGACGATGACCATGCTGATGATGGTGTTGTTGATGATGGTTCTGATGATGATGGTGCTAATGGTGCCGATGATTGCGATGACGACGACAATAACAATGTTGACGATGACCATGTGAGATGAGGATGCTGAGGAGGAGAAGGTGGAGGAGGAGAGCCACGCGCGCGGTCGCAGGTCCGCCAGGTGCTGGAGGAGGCAGGGGCGGTGCGCTGCGGCGCCTACAGCGAG